CGCGGCCTGGGCCCCCGGAGGTGCCTGAGGGGGCGTTGGGGGCAGCGGTGCTCAGAGCTCGCCTCGGCGTGAGTCGTTGTCCAGCCCCAGGTTTGAAAATTAAGAGAGGCAGAGAATTGCCTGCACCTTACACCCCCCCCCCACACTTCACTTCACTTCAGCCCCCTCCACACGCGCTCCATTTCAGACATTGGGGCTGGGAGATGGGGGGGGTCCTGCTTCTCCTGAGGAGAAGTTCCCTGACAGTGTTTGGGGCAAGAAGGGGCCTGAGAGGAAATCTTAATATTTTTAGGTTCAGCCCCTCATTGAGCCCCTCTTCAGAAGCCCCTGGGGAGGCTGAGGGAAGCCGGGTTGAAATAGCAGGTTGTATTTATTTACGGACATACATAAGAGCATCGGGGCGTTTCCAAGAGAGCCGTGCTTCTGGCGGCGCGCGGTGGTGTCACAGGCCCGGATACAACCAGTGCAGCGGTGCTCTTGGTAACTGGCCACGCGTCGAGGACCGGTGCTTTTGGAGCAGGGAGGATCGGGGTTTCCCCTCTGTTTCTCTGGTGTCTGAAGGGTATGTGTCGAGACCAACCCCCCGGTAGAGCTGCAGGCGGGCGTGCTGTCGGCACGCGCGCCAGGCCTGCGGTTTGTTCGGCGCACGGCGATGCGGGTGGCAGAACTAAGTGTGTCGGGCACGTGGGAAAGCGGAGCAGCTTGTCCGTGAGGAAGGGAAGTGCCTCTATGTTTTGGAGCAGCGTTGTATTGTAACGTTTTCATGTGGCAGCTGCCCTAGACTTCCAGTGTCCTGGCTGGAGAGTTGCAGACCGCGTCGGGTGATGGTAGCCTGGGCATCGACCTCATTGTAACTCAGCTGGGTGAGCTCTGGAGACTTCATCCGCCATCAGAGCATAGCACCGGTGATGCATAGCAGCCTAAGTTAGTTGTGTTTGTTGGGTTTTTATTACATGAATATCCTCCTCTTGATATTACCCTCACAAGTCGTCGTCTTTTTTTAACCTGTTTAATATTTCTCTACAATCCTTTTTTGGGTTAACATATTTTATACAAACAAACTCCCATTGACTTTAGTGGAAGACTGTGAGATCTTGAATGGGGTGGTTTCCTCTACACCACATTTTGGCATCCCCACTCACGTTGAGCAGTATTTTACAGCATGAGAAATCCCGTTGAAATCGTTGGGACTTTAGTCATTCTTGCTGTGAACAAGGCAGCAGTCGGGTGGTTTTTTGTTTTTTTCTTATGTTCTTCCTCATAACTGTTGTACCTCAAGGAAGAAGGAGTGTACAAGTAATTGTGAAGTAGATCTGATCTGATTTGAATTATGCCTTTTTACAACAGCCAGACTTGTAATTGTGTTTTGTTTAAGAACTTTTTTTAAAAAATTCTTTTGTAAAAAAAATAAAATAAAAAAAATAAAAATAAAAATAAAAATAAAAAAAATATATATTGGTTATTTAAAAATGTTAGTGAAGGGGACTTTTGTACATATGTAAAGAAGATACCTACCACACTTTAATTTGGAGTGCAAGATGGTGTATAAACACCAGTGTCTTATAAAAATACATGCTGATGGTGGGCACTGTTTATGTAGTTAACACGGAGTTTACTGTGGGCTGTTTAAGTGACATGGAGAGCCCCGATGTAACTGTGAATCTTTTCACATGGTGGTTTTTGCTAGCTTGTATTTTCCTACTACTAGACATTTTTGTTTCTTTTTTAGAATTATTTAAAAATAAAACCTCAGGGGGGTGTGTGTGTGCATGTACCTCCATTCAAATTATACAGCTATGCTGTATAGAAAGATATAATATGCACCCATGTGCATATTGTATCCATTCCATGTGCTCTTGTTATTAGATTAGCATGCTTCTTCTGTTGCTAGTATAACAACATGTATAAATTCAAAACACTGTATATATTGAGCACTTTGAATTTTCCATAGCTAACTTCTAAAGCAGTGACTGAGAGTAGAAACGGTACGCTCTATTCCTCTGGCAGCAAATGCTGAAGTGGACCGTGCTGCTCCCAAATCCCACAGAGAATTTGTCTATAATTTTTTTAAATGTAAAATGTTTGTGTTAGTTTGCTTCCTTACTGGATTTATCTTCACTTGATGAGAGAAATCAAGTAACCTTCACATGGCTAGCATATAATTTATGTACCTATAAAATATGCTGGTCCTTGTGGTTGCACAAATTAAATGCTTGCAGTTACAAAATGCTTCAGTGTATGCCTAGGGTTCTCTGAGAAGGTGGCAATTTACTCTGTGGGGAAAGCAAGGATTTGCTGAGTTGGTGGTTCTTCATGTGCCTCTTGCTGGAATTTATCCTCCTGTACACACAGTCACTTTGCTCCATGGCTAGGGGTCAGCTGTCCTTTACAAAAGAATTTGAGATTCTAGAGCAAGCAATATTGTTATTCTTAGCAAGCAGTATCAGATTTGTAGTAGTAATCCAGCAAGTAGTCTGGATTTTTCCCTCATTCCACTAACTTTCTTCCATCCTAATTTGTGGTAGCAGTTCATCATCTTGTTTTGTCATGGGTTAGATATAGAATGCATGTGGATCAATGGGGGGTCAAGGAGAAGAAGGGAAGTGATCTTCTCTAGATACTGCATGTAGAGAGCAACTTAATCCCAATTTTTAAGACCTCTGATATGGAACACAGTTGTAGAGCACTCGCACGTTGTAGGGTCAGATTTATTCCTGATATATCTCGGTGGATTTTAGTGGGCTCATATCCGTGAATCTGGAGTTAGTAAGCTATTTAATGCTTTTTTTTTTTTTTTTTTTTAATTTATTTTAAAGAGAGACCATCTTTTATCATCTCTTTTTCATCGTTAACCAGTCACATACCCTACTGTAGTTCATGGAGGATATGGCTATAAGGTTTTTAGGGCAGTGGGATCATTCCTGAGAGTAGGCAGTAGACTCACATGGCTGCATATGAGTAAAACCAACAGGATTTGCCCCTCAAACTAATTGGATTATTAATTAGTCACACGCCAGTTGGTTTTGTACAGTGCATTTATCATGTGATGTTCTTTATCAGCGGGGTGGGGGGAGAACTGTGAGGCTATTACATACTCGCACATACATCCCTTTGTGTGTGTTCAATTTAATTAAAATATCTAAATCATTCCAACGTCATCCAGGAAGATTCTTTAGAATATCAGGAAGGTCTTCCTTCGACCTTGCTGTTATGAGCCGGTGTATCATTCGATTTGTATGGTGCCTTTCAGTGTTTACAGGATGGTGTATTAACTGATTTTTGGTAATTTTGGAGATTTCAAGAATACCTAAGGGGATGCATCACATGACAGACTGTGAATGCCACTCAGGAAGGCAGACTGAAGGGGCTCTGGAGAATAGCTATGAGAACTAGAAGATGGGAGATACTGGCCTAGGAGGGAAGATTGGAGCTGCATAGGCACAGCTTTGCTCATTGAGAACATAATGATCTTCCCTGAGTATTTTTAAAAGAGCAAAGTCCCATTATGGAGAGGAATTGAGATAAAAGAGTGGACCAGGGAGAACTCGGTGCCCTACTGATGTTGTCTCTGCAGTGCTAACAGGACTGGGAAATTAGCAGAGTGAGGATTTGTTGTTACTGTCATCAGATATGTGCAGGTTGGTTGGGGATGAAGTGGGGTGGGTGGTGGGATGTGTGCGTGCTCACTCAGTTGTGGGTTTTTTTTGTTTTTTGTTTTTGGACTGTAACTGCACTTCATGAAGGAGGAACTGTAATTTGAAGAGGTGTGTTCAGGGAGGGGAGAAGTTCTGCATGCTTCTTTAAGCCTGTCATTAATCTTCCAAGAGAATAACAGTTAAATCTTCATTGACTGGGATATTGAGAAATTATGTCTTTAGTTAGGGAACTGTAAAGCTGGGGAAGCTGATAAAGCGATACAGGATCAGTTAAATCTGTGTATGATTGCTAGTGATGACTTATTGGAAGAGAGTTATTTGGTCTTAGTCTGGTTCCTGTTGGACTGATGTGTACATAATAAAAACCAGCAATAAGGAGTGACCTCAGCAGAGTCCAGTGGCTTGAGTAGGCCATAGGCACCAGGTCTGGACCAAGCAGCCTGTAGAAAGCTTGTACTACCCCAGCCCATGCAGTACAGAGGGTATCCATCTCTAGGGTGTCGGGGCCGAGGGGCTGTGGCCAGCAGCCCGGGCACGTGGGCTGGGGAAAAGGTTGGCACGGCGAACTAGAATTAGGCACTGACGTGTAGAGGTTGATTTAAAGATTGTTTTACTTACACCGTAGGTGGTCGCGGTGCAGGCAGGAAAAACTTTCTTGAGTTGCAGTTACAAAAAGACACACATGGAGTTTGCTAGGCTCCACAAAACAAACACGAACAGAGCTCTGGATACACGCTCGCGGAGTTTGCTAGGCTCCGTGGAACGACCAAAATGAGAGTCCGAAAGGTGACTCTCGACAAGCATGTGGGGTAGGGTACGTCGAGGGATCGTGCGGCGACGGGGAGAGAGTCTTGGTAGCTGATCAAACCACCGGTCGGCTCCGAGACGCGCGCAGAGTTTGTTAGGCTCTACCACGTGGCTCAGAGTTCTCCACGAGATGGATGCGGAGTCCCCCTAAATGAGGTCCTCCCCGGAGATCTCCAACTTGGGTGGAAACTGCTCAAGCCTCTTATACAGCTAGCGAGCCAATTGCTAGCCGCCACATGGGAATAATTTAGAAACAGTCAATAGTGGGGTACGAATTTGCATGCGAGTGGCGGGAACTCCTTTGCACTGGGGTTTTCTCTCTGCAGCTGAGAATTGAACCGTGCAAAGAATGCTCCATGTGGCGGGAAATAATTCTGCAGTGCCGAAGCGCACACAAAATCATTGGGTCATGACATAGGGTTGACATCCTAGCAACTTCCCCTGCTGCTACACATTCACTTTCCCTCTCCTGTGTACAAGAAGGGATGCTTTTCATGGTGGGAAGAAAGGGAGGGTGGCTGTGGTGGTAAGTAGAATAAAGTTGCATGTGTGTGGCTGTAGGCTACCACGTACTGATGCATGGACTCTATACAGCTCCAGAGTCATCACCTTTACTGGGAAGAATGT